TATGCCTGCAGACATGTCAAGGCTTTTTTTTTCTTTTAAATACTTTTAGAGAATAGTAATATTAATTTTGAGTTGTCATGGGAGGTTGTAGGTGGGTATATGAGAACAAAGGTTTATGAAATGCATTAAGTGTGAAATTATACTCAACCCATACATAGGAGAGAGAAGCTTACAATGATTTGGTCCGTCCTGGACTATTTACAAAGCCACACTAGCACAAGAGAAGGAGCCAGTGTATATAGCCTCCCTTTCTCTCTCTCTTGTGTTAGTGTAACCTTTTAAATGGTCCAAGATGGACCAAAACATCGTTGTAACCTTCTCTCTCCTATGTGCAGGTTAGTCATGCATTGTTCCCATTACGACATTACCCATTTGTTCTTTAACCCGTAAACGGTCCAAACGTATACAGGTGTCCCTCAACATTCGCGAGGGTTAGGGGATCAAGAGCCTCGCGAATGTTGAAAAACCGTGAATGTTTGGTGCCTCAATATATTGTAGGGAAATATAATACAATACTGCTTCCTTAACTTGTTGAACCATGAACAATCATAAAATACATGAAAATGTCGTAAATTGTACTAAATATATACATGTTATGCTTTAATAACATGTATGTTATTAAATACCACAGACTCCACCACTGCCTCCACCACTTCCTCAACCACTGCGAGTCCCTACTACCCTCCCTCCGACCCCCCACAACTGGCAGCCAGCCCTCCCACCACTCAGTGTGGTGAGTGTTTTGTTTGTTCATTATTTGCTATTAAACTACAGTATAAATAATGTAAACACATTCATGACTGCATATTGGAATGGCTATTTGGACAGGTATTGGACGGTGACGTCATGTGTTTACTCTTGAACACAGCAAAGAATCAAACATTTCTGCTACTGCTAATAATAACAATAGTAATAATAATAATAATAATAATAATAATAATAATAATAATAATAATAATAATACGATATAATTGAAGAAGGAAATTGTACAAAAATACGAGGGAGTGGTTGACACATCGTCAGTGTGGCTTTGTTTATGCTGGAGTGAACATTAGTCTCCGTGCTCTTCCAAACATTTCACAATAATTCAGCGGTAGAGGCAGTGATAGAGGCAGTGATAGAGGCAGTGGGTGAGGCAGTGGTATTTACTAACATATACGTATGTTATAAATAATAATAGTACATGTTAATATTAATAACATTTATAATAATAATAATAAATGTTATTCATAATGTACTATTATTATTTATACGTAACATATATGTTAGTAAATATCACTGCCTCTATCACTGCCTCTACCACTGCCTCTACCACTGCCTCTACCACTGCCTCTACCACTGCCTCTATCACTGCCTCTACCACTGCCTCTATCGCTGCCTCTACCACTGCCTCTACCACTGCCTCTACCACTGCCTCTACCACTGCCTCTACCACTGCCTCTATCACTGCCTCTATCACCTCTACCACTCCAGTCACACTCAATCTACAAGCACCAAACAATGAATTATTGTGAAATGTTTGGAAGAGCAGGGAGACTAATGTTCACTCCAGCATAAACAAAGCCACACTGACGATGTGTCAACCACTCCCTCGTATTTTTGTACAATTTCCTTCTTCAATTATATCGTATTATTATTATTATTATTATTATTATTATTATTATTATTATTATTATTATTATTACTATTGTTATTATTAGCAGTAGCAGAAATGTTTGATTCTTTGCTGTGTTCAAGAGTAAACACATGATGTCACCGTCCAATACCCGTCCGAATAGCCATTCCAATATGCAGTCATGAATGGGTTTACATTATTTATACTGTAGTTTAATAACAAATAATGAACAAACAAAACACTCACCACACTGAGTGGTGGGAGGGCTGGCTGCCAGTTGTGGGGGTCGTTGGGAGGGTAGTAGGGACTCGCAGGTGGCGGGAAACTTGAATATGATTTGGTGGCTGGGAATTTGGCGGCTGGGAATTTGGCGGCTGGGAATTTGGCGGTTGGGAATTTGGCGGTTGGGAATTCGCGAATGTGTGAAGCCCGCGAAAGCTGAAAATGTGAATGTTGAGGGAGACCTGTATATACGTTTTTTCAACATTTGAAAGTATGTAAAAAAAAGTAGATTTTTTCTTTTTTGTACATTTGAAAACGTGTAAAAAAACTTTGATATACTTTTTTTTTGTTATATTTGAAAATATTCACTTTGAAAGTGTTGAATGATGATGAAAGTATTTTCTTTTTTGGGATTTTCTTTCTTTTTTGGGTCACCCTGCCTCGGTGGGAGACGACCGACTTGTTGAAAAAAAAAAAAATTGGAAATATGTAAAAAAAAAACGTAGATCTCCTTTTGGAGCACTACGCATTTACACGTAGATCTGCTTGGACCGTTTACGGGTTAAGTGAGGAATTAATTCTGTGTAACAAGAGTGTGGCAGTAAACAGGTGGAGTAAGAAATAGTATTAGTCTACCCAAAATACCTAGGATTGCTAGTGGCTTATAATTATTCTTATAGATTATAATTGTTCTTATAGATTATAATTGTTCTTATAGATTATAATTTTTCTTATAGATTATAATTGTTCTTATAGATTATAATTGTTCTTATAGATTATAATTGTTCTTATAGATTATAATTGTTCTTATAGATTATAATTTTTCTTATAGATTATAATTGTTCTTATAGATTATAATTGTTCTTATAGATTATAATTGTTCTTATAGATTATAATTGTTCTTATAGATTATAATTGTTCTTATAGATTATAATTGTTCTTATAGATTATAATTGTTCTTATAGATTATAATTGTTCTTATAGATTATAATTGTTCTTATAGATTATAATTGTTCTTATAGATTATAATTGTTCTTATAGATTATAATTGAACAAGGTAATGATAATTTTTATTCTTAAAAAAAAATGTACGATACAGATTTTTCACAGCATTTCGTGCAGATTTAAACTAAAACTACGCACTGTGCTTAAACCTACTCGGTTTGTTTAAATGTACTGGGTTTTTAATTAGACCCACTGTCTGTGCAAGCTACAGGAGGCCCTGCTTATACAGCAGGTTAGGTTCTGGGCTACTGCTGTATAGGAGGCCCTGCTTATACAGCAGGTTAGGTTCTGGGCTACTGCTGTATAGGAGGCCCTGCTTATACAGTAGGTTAGGTTCTGGGCTACAGCTGTACAGGAGGCCCTGCTTATACAGCAGGTTAGGTTCTGGGCTACTGCTGTACAGGAAGGCCCTGTTTATACAGCAGGTTAGGTTCCAGGTTACTGCTGTACAGGAGGGCCCTGCTTATACAGGAGGTTAGGTTCTGGTTACTGCTGTACAGGAGGGGCCTGCTTATACAGCAGGTTAGGTTCTGGCCTACTGTTGTACAGGCAGGCCCTACTTATACAGCAGGTTAGGTTCCAGGCTACTGCTGTACAGGAGGGCCCTGCCTATACAGCAGGTTAGGTTCCAGGCTACTGCTGTACAGGAGGGCCCTGCCTATGCAGCAGGTTAGGTTCCAAGCTACTATTGTACAGGAGGGCCCTGCTTGTACAGCAGGTTAGGTTCTGGTTACTGCTGTACAGGAGGGGCCTGCTTATACAGCAGGTTAGGTTCTGGCCTACTGTTGTACAGGCAGGCCCTGCCTATACAGCAGGTTAGGTTCCAGGCTACTGCTGTACAGGAGGGCCCTGCCTATACAGCAGGTTAGGTTCCAGGCTACTGCTGTACAGGAGGGCCCTGCCTATGCAGCAGGTTAGGTTCCAAGCTACTATTGTACAGGAGGGCCCTGCTTGTACAGCAGGTTAGGTTCCAGGCTACTGCTGTACAGGAGGCCCTGCCTATACAGCAGGTTAGGTTCCAAGCTACTGCTGTACAGGAGGGCCCTGCTTATACAGCAGTGAATATCAAAATGGTATATAATACTGATAGGTTGGTAGGCAAGACACATAGACAACATTTAGGCAACTTTATTCAGAAACGTTTTGCCTACACAGTAGGCTTCTTCAGTCAAGTACAGAAAGTAGGCAGGAGCAGTAGAGATGTGAAGACGATGTAATCAGTCCATCACCCTTGAAGTTGTAGTTTTCAGGTTGTCATTCCCTCAGCCTGGAGAAGTTCAGTTCCAAAGTCTGGAACTAACTGAAGATCAAGCGACAGTGTTGAGACTTAAGTACTGTCCAAAGGAGAGGTGCAGAGTAGTAGTAGTGAGAATGTAGCCACTGAGAGGTCACGTCCCTCTCAGATCAAACAATTCTCACTTGAAAAAGTTGTCCAAGGTGTTTTCTCTTCTGTACCAAGATGCCATTGTGTTGCAGTGTCTGACAGAGTGAATATCAAAATGGTATACAATACCGACAGGTTGGTAGGTAAGACACATAGGCAACATTTAGGCAGCTTTATTCCGAAACATTTCGCCTACACAGTAGGCTTCTTCAGTCGAGTACAGAAAGTAGACAGGGACAGTAGAGATGTGAAGACGATGTTATCTTTATACGTATATACTTCTAAACTGTTGTATTCTGAGCACCTCTGCAAAAACAGTGATTATGTGAGTGAGGTGAAAGTGTTGAATGATGATGAAAGTATTTTCTTTTTGGGGATTTTCTTTCTTTTTGGGTCACCCTGCCTTGGTGGGATTTGGCCGACTTGTTAAAAAAAAAAAAAAAATCCAGTCGAGGCAGGGTGACCTAAAAAAAAAGCAAAAGTTTTTCTTTTTCAGTTTTGTAATTTATACAGGAGAAGGGACTACTAGCCCCTTGCTTTCTTTATTACTGGTATTATTTAATATTGAAGATGTCTGTTATAAATTTCCATAATGCACTTCCGGACTTATTATGCCAAGGGTAAATACTGATACCTTATTGATAAGTGTGTATCTACCTTGTACTGATACCATATTGATAAATACACATCTACCGTGTACTGATACCATGTTGATAAAAGTATGTGTCTACCTCATACTGATACTTTATTGATAAGTACATGTCTGCTTCATAGGTATGCCCGTCTGTTCGGAGTCAACGTCCGAGACCGTCTAGTGGCACAAACACAAGCACTGTTTGAAAACCATGAAGATCCGGAGATCCAGCGACAAGCAACCAGACTGTACAGAGCACTCAAGGATTAAGTATCTCTCGTAGTTTTAAGTTGCGCTTAAAGTAAGGAATCTAAATCTCCTTGTTGAAAGGTGTATTTATCCATGGGAATGGTGGGCGTAAAGGTTGCATTTAAATGTGTGGTTGGTAAATCTAGATTTGTTTGCATAAACAGAGGACAATGAAGGTAATGTCAGACTTTTAACGCGGTATAGATCATTTCCTGAAATATCACATGGTAAATGATGGTTGACAGCAATTCTGAGTTGTGTTTTAAGTGAACGATGTTTTCTTTTGTGGGTGTAATTAATTTGTTGGTTTATTTTTACATGCAAGTTCAGTCTTTACACCTTTGTGGGCACTTTTGTGAATAATTCCACCTGCCGTATTTTCCGGCATTAGGGGCACACAGCGGAAGTATCATAACGGTAAACCAGTAATTGTATTCAAGGGCTAATTACCCTCTTACTTTACGCTAAAGCATAACAAAACGCCTACCCTTGACCCTGACCTCGAGCATATAAGACGCAGGTTAATTTTCCAAGACTTTTTGCGGGAAAAAAGGCGCGCCTTATATGCCAGCGAACACCTCAACCAAACCTAGTTGTGTATGATTTGTGGCACTGCTGTGTCTGATGCCACTTACCCATCCTGGGTATACAGTATATCATTTGTGACACTGCAGTGAATGATACCATCTTAGAGGTAGAGGAGATGTTAATTGACAAAAACATCAATATAGAATTTCTTGAAAGATATACCACAAGGGGTTTGTTGGCAGAGAATGTCATTGGAGTTTCACATTCAACTCGTCGACGGTGTACATTACAACTTCATATGCCTCAGTGCTTTGTAATGGTCCTCTGTGTGTATGTATGTCCTGTGTGTGTGTATATAGTGTATGAATATATATAATAATGTATGCTACCTAAAGTGTGAAAAAGCACAATGTTAATGCAGGACTGGGAAGTGCGAGACCTTCGGTATTCATGTTCCAGCAAGTTTTATGTTTATGTAGAAGACTTTGTGGTCGTAAATTTTACATTGGCATCAGAGAATGCCCTGTGGACATTGAATTGGCATTGCCAAAACTCCATACAGGGTTTGCAGTAATTGTCTTGGATACCATTTCTCTTGCATGTTGAAAATGGCATAAAATACTGACATGTTGATGAGTAATATACATATACAACAGTTGGGTTTCTTTATTGTGGAAACATCTTGCCTACACAGCAGACTTCTTCAGTCATTTAAAGAGACGGCAGAAGCAGTGGAGATGAAAAGACAATATAATCAGTCCGTCACGCTGGAAGACATAATCTTGAAGCGATCAGTCCCACAGCCTGGAGAAGAGTTCAGCTCTGTGGAGTTGACCACCTCAAAATTACGTCTTCCAGGATGACAGACTGATTATATCATCTTTTCATCTCCACTGCTTCTGCCGTCTCCTCTGTATATGACTGAAGAAGCCTAATGTGTAGGTGAAATGTTTCAACGATGAAGATACCCAACTGCTGTACATGCTTGTTACCATTTCTCTTCATAATATAATCTGTAAAATGTTCTCATAGCTTGGCAGTAAGTATTGGGAAAATCATCTCTCTTCAGACATACTGTGTTCATTATTCTTGAAGCTTGATAAAAGCTTACTGTTGAAGTGACGTAGGCAGTATCTCTCTTCAGACATACTGTGTTTATTGAAGCTTACTGCAGACTCACAAGAGCTAGTTTTCAATGTTATTAATGGGAGCATTATTGGTGACTGAAGCTTGGACACACTGTATGCGTTCACGATACAGTGGTCCTGTCGGTACACCAGCCGTACTGAACACTGATAAGAATATGCAAGAATATTAAAGAATATTGCACTAGAATGCTGCCTGAGGCTGGGCCACCCAGCCAACGATTTGTGAAATCACAAGTGGATATTTAATAGATATCACCTCCCATCTTGTACTATCTGGATACATTTTGAATAAGACACAATCTCTGACCCCTGCGTGCTATGTAGGTGCATCTCTCGTAAGTTTTACTAAGTAATGTGTCATAATTTTTTATTAAGTTAAGTCTACCTATGTGCTGTAATGTCTGAGATGATAGATCTAGGAAAAAATATATGTGCTACAGTGTTTATGGCTTGGATAAGTTTGGCCGTACATGACCACTTGTGTGTTATGTTAGTGATGTATCGGATTAGACAGTTAGGACCACCTGTGTATTAAGTCTTGCTTCAGTCTCCGTGTTTCTGCTGTCTCCCTGTCTTTCTACTGTCTCTCCCTGTCTTACTTCCATCTCTTCCTGTCTTACATCCATCAGCTACTCATCCTTCTTGAAAACACTCTCTTGCCTTTATGTATTATTGCATTTATTATTAATAATATATAATACAGTTGGTTAAATTAGGTTATCTTAACCAAACTGACGTAATAACTAACGTAGAGGCAGACTCATATAAAGTAAAAAAAATAAGTAATGTTGGTGCTAGGACACATTTTGTTTCAGTTAAGTTTGGTCAGTTAAGATTACTTGCATGCTGTGTAACTAATGTCTCATATGATCACTTTATTAACCGGCTCTAGTGCGTTAAGTCAGCAAAGATGCCATGTGAATAAATGGAAGAATGGAAAGGGTCTTGAACTGTGGTTGATGCAGAGAGACTCTATCACTCCTTGTCCATTCTCTTTATTCACTGGCAGTCTTTTGTTACTAGCCGAGTGTATTCTGTTTACCACCTGAGTGTATTCTGTTTGACCTGAGTGTATTCTGTTTGACCTGAGTGTATTCTGTTTGACCTGAGTGTATTCTGTTTGACCTGAGTGTATTCTGCTTGACCTGAGTGTATTCTGTTTGACCTGAGTGTATTCTGTTTACGACCTGAGTGTATTCTGTTTTATAAGCCAGAGGTATCCACTTTGCTGTGGTACAGTCATGGGTACTGAAGAATCTTATCACCCAGTCTTGGTGTGAAAGGCATTTGTATTTGTCTATTAGATTAGTGAATATTTGTGAATATAATATACATTATATTGTACACTCGCATGCACTGCAGGCTGGGTGTACACCACCAGACACTTTGTATACTACTCGTGCTGGGATTTGTAACTGTTACCAGATCTACCTATAGAAGGCGCTATGTACATTTCTGCTGCATCTTGCACATTGCCACGAGTGACGGCATCAGTCACGGGTAATGAAAAAACTCTTAAGCAAACTGTAAATATGCTTTGAATTCTAAATGTCAAAAATCCCACATTACTACTATGGCCATAGTAGTTTATTTACTTACGACGGCATTTCTTTATCATTTCACTTTTTTCTACCTCATGGATAAAGTGCTTTAACTCTGTAGTCTTTAACCTTTGTGCCAATGATGATTAGTCAGTATTTTTTATCATATAGCTTTACCGGCTTTATAGCGAGAAATAATGAGAGCACTGGGGTCAACTCTGGGCAGCATTGGCTAATTTCAGAACATCGTAAATATCGCTGCCTGACCTTCACATCTTGTTACTGGCAACATGTTGTAGCATCGGCTCTTGTTTATGACTTGAAGGATATGTCTGGGGGGGGGGGGTTCGGTGCCCATACTGCCTGGTCCCAGACCAGGCCTCAAGGTGGGTCAAGGCCTGATCAACCAGGCTGTTACTGCTGGTTGCACAAGCAGCAAATAAATCGTGGAATGGGTGGGGTTTGAACCCATGGCAAGTGGTACCTAAAATTCAGAGGCCAGTATGTTAACCACTTGGCCAGCTGGCTGAGTCAAGATACAGGCAGCAGCCCGGCTGGTCAGGAAATGATTTGAAGAAATTGTTAAATGGTGAGAATATTAACAAACACCTGAAACATGACAAGATTTTGCAGAATAAAAGCTGGATGCTGTGACTGGAACAATTCACACGTATCCCACAAATCTGAAACAAACTCAGTGTTTTTATCTATCTTTGACTATTATAAAGTCATGAGTACCCTGATCATATCATCAAATTTTACCTTCAAGCTGTAAATTAGTTGTAAGCAGAATTTAATATTCTTTTAGTCTTGGACTGGAAATGTTTTAAAATTTTGACATCTGATAGCATAAAGTTCCCTTGCACAGACATAGACTTTGATATTCCCGCCAAGTACAGGTGCTCCTCAACTTAGTTGGGCGATGTTCCAACGAACCCGTTGTAAGTCGAAAATATTGTGAGTGAAATATGAATACGAGTTGCTAAATAAATAATAAAAAACTATTGTCACTAAACAGAAATTCTTTCTTTCATTCAACACACCGGCCGTATCCCACCAAGGCAGGGTGGCCCAAATCGAAAAACGAAAGTTTCTCTTAAATTTAGTAATTTATACGGGAGAAGGGGTTACTAGCCCCTTGCTCCCGGCATTTTAGTCGCCTCTTACAACGCACATGGCTTACGGAGGAAGAATTCTGTTCCACTTCCCCATGGAGTAAACAGAAATTACTGTAACTAAATTCCAGTATGTACTGAGAATTAGAAACAAAATGTATTCAAGTTAGGGACTTGCCGCCTTCATTATGGGTAATTAATTCAGGTTTCATCTCCAAGGTAATTGTAAAGTCAAAATATTATAAGTCAAGGAGCACCTGTATATGACATCATGAATATGAAGCATAGATAAACTTTCTTAACATGTGACATCCCCTCGACAACAAGAATACGGCAGCAATACACAGACAAACTTAACTACCATTTGACAATTTCTAACATCAATTAACTTAAATACCAGTATACTTAATATTAACTTAGTTTTCAGGCAGTAGAAATAAAGGCAAATGTTAGTAGGAAGTTCCTTTATTACTCTTCCCTCAAGGTTGAATCTGCCTAATAAGTGTCAGGGGCCCAAGACTGTTCAACAGCCCCCTATCATACATAAGGGGGATTACCATTAGACCTACTTTATTTAGTAGATCTTATTGGTAATAAAATCATTCACTGTAATACAATTGTCTGACAGCAGCGTACGAGCCTTCGGGACTAAGAGTGTTAATATACAGTCATTTCTCTTATAAACCTTCTGTGTGCTGTGTATTTCTTGGAAATGATTGAAAAACTACAGCCAGAATTGAGAAGCACTTAAAGAATAAGAAGGCACAATACCGTATCTGGAATAATACACAAATAACCCAGAATTAATGGTGCAAGTTGGACTGTAACGCCATCATAAGTTTCATTCTCCTATGTGCGGGTTATTTGTGTTCTGAAAAGCACTTACCATGAAAGCCTTAGTACACGCTGTTCAATTGTGGATGTACTTTCAATCATATTTCCAAAAAATTCAACTATACATACAGGTTTACAATAGAGGTTGATTGTATAAATTTGTGCCGCATACTGACTTGTGAATACTCAGCAGGAGCACCTCAGTTACTCCTCATTTCTTGCTACATTCATAGATGCTCTTCTGTTACATACTAACTTCTGTGTTAATGTTCTCCGTTTAGAAATTTTGTAATCTTAACGTGTTCCAGGTAATGTTTTTTGGCTGGAAATACATTTAAATCTCAAATTATGCTTATATTCTTTGTTAGGTAATGACATACAGCATTTAAAATTTCCTGTGATTAGGAAATGGCATGAGTGAATAGGTGAAAGAATGAGATACAGTAAATTTTGGAAATGGCAGAGTAATTGGGGATTGTCCAAGTGTTCGTTAAATCATGACAATGTTGAAAAATCACAGGAAAAACAGTAAAGTGCTCTACTATGTTCCTAACATAGTATTGTATGCACAATTTACAGATATACTGCTATAAACATTGTAACTAAAGGGGGTTAAATCTACTGTTCACTCAGTGGATTTTGCTTATTATTTTAGAAGTCTGCTAGATTGAGGTCTATTATAAGTAGAGTTTACTGTATATATAGTTTCTGTGGATGTCTTGGCAGCTACAGCATTATGAAGAAGGTTTTTGAAGGATAAACAACCACCATCGTGATTGCCATAGTTTGCTGCCATGTTGTTGTTGCTCACAGTTGATCTTATCCAGGATGGACCCAAACCTCGCCCAGTTTTCATCTGTCGTGAGTTAGCCACATTTTCTGTTTGTGATGGGAAGTGTAAACAGGGATTTACTTACAATTATTTGTTGCTTTGTTGTTGCTGTTTTTGTTTGCCCACCAGCTTCCCGAGCATCTATTATCTAGTTAGTTGTCTAGTCTTAACTCAGTATGAATGGTATTATATAGTGACACATGCTAATGGAACATAACACGTACAGGAAGGCCCTACATGTACAGCACCTGTTTTCAGTGTTCCACATTTTCATTGGCTTTCATTTGAGCTAACGTTCCACTTGCTGGTGAGTCGTTGGCAGGTGGAACATAATGAACAATGGCTCAGCTTGAAGCCAATGAAGATGTGGAACAGCAAAAAAGAAGGTGCTGTATACGTGAAGCCTCCTGTATGTACTGTATCACACTTTATAGAGATAATGTTTCATCCACCTGTGATTGTTTTACATGATGGTAGGATTGCTGGCGTCTTTGTTTTTGTCCCAGAAATACGCAGGATAGCAGGTGTGTCTTGCTACTTCTACTTATATTACACTACACATGCATGATCTTCTTCTTTCAACAAACCAGCCGTATCCCACTGAAGCAAGGTGACTGAAAAAGGAGAAGAAAAGTTTCTCTTTTAACTTTAGTAATATATACAGGAGAAGGGGTTCCTAGCACCTTGCTCCCGGCATTTTAGTCGCCTCTTATGACACGCATGGCTTACGGAGGAAGAATTCTGTTCCACTTCCCCATGGAGATGAGAGGAAATAAACAAGAACAATAACTAGAAAGAAAATAGAAGAAAACCCAGAGGGGTGTGTATATATGTTTGTACAACACATTCATGTACATGCATATACAGTGGACCCCCGACTTACGATATTAATTCATTCCAGAAGGCTGTTGGGGTACCGTTGCCGAACGAATTTGTTCCCATAAGGAATATTGTAAATTAGATTAATCCGTTTCAGACCCCAAAAAATACACTTACAAAAGCACTTACAAAAATACACTTACATAATTGTTCGAGTTGGGAGCTGTTTGTAAGTCGGGGGTCCACTGTATATATATATATATATACAGTGGACCCCCGCATAACGATCACCTCCGAATGCGACCAATTATGTAAGTGTATTTATGTAAGTGCGTTTGTACGTGTATGTTTGGGGGTCTGAAATGGACTAATCTACTTCACAATATTCCTTATGGGAACAAATTCGGTCAGTACTGGCACCTGAACATATTTCTGGAATGAAAAAATATCGTTAACCGGGGGTCCACTGTACACTCATCTGGGTTTTCGTCTGTGTTCTTAATAGTTCTTTATTTCATTTTATCTCCATGGGGAAGTGGAACAGAATTCTTCTTCCGTAAGTCATGCATGTCCTAAGAGGCAACTAAAATGCCAGGAGCAAGGTGCTAGTAACCCCTTCATCCACCTGGAAGTTTATCAGTTCTTCTATTCTCTGATAGTCACTGATATTTGAAACATCTCAGTAGAGCGACATAAATCACACACCTTCTTAGTGGCCTTGGTGGAGGTTGAGCTTTTATCTGAGGATGATTGTTGCAGATACAGTACACTTGTAATTTGCTTCAGAGAGTAACATAAGTCATATGCATACTGTAGCCTTCACAACATTAAGTCAGGACTTGACATGACCTTGGCATACTTCTTGCCTCTTCACCTAACCTAAATTGTGGCACTTTTCTTTACCTCACCTGTCTCCTATCTAGCCTCACCTTTTCACCTGACTTGTTCTGTGATATTGCTCTTCACCTGACCTGGATTATGGTATTTTTCTTCACCTGACCTGTCTCCTGTCTAGCCATGCCTTTGCACCTGACTTGTTTTATATTTTTCTTTGCCTGACCTGTCTCCCATCTTCCTCCTTAACTCTCTACCTGACCTGTCTTTCAGTTTTACCACTTCTGTCAGTTGTAACTTTGTAATGGTCCCAGACACTCAGGAAGGTCATCTGTTCCCCTCCCAGTGCAGGATCTTTTCTCTTCCATGTACAGTGGACCCCCAGTTTACAATATTATTTCATTCCAGAAGTATGTTCAGGTGCCAGTACTGACTGAATTTGTTCCCATAAGGAATATTGTGAATTAGATTAGTCCATTTCAGACCCCCAAACATACACATACAAGCGCACTTACATAAATACACTTACATAATTGGTCGCATTGGGAGGTGATTGTAAAGCGGGGGTCCATTGTACAGTGGTACCGCGAGATACGAACAGCTGAAAACTCTTAACAGTTATGTAAGTGTATTTACGTAAGTGCTTTTGTAAGTGTATTTTTGGGGGTCTGAAACGGATTAATCTAGTTTCCATTATTCCTTATGGGAACAAATTCGTTCGGTATTGGCACTCAAACAGCCTTCTGGAATGAATTAAATTCGTATCTCGAGGAACCACTGTACAGTGGAACCTCAGTACTTGAACTTAATTTGTTCCAGAAGGCTATTCAAGTGCTGATCCATTCGAGTATCAAACGAATTCTTCCCAACCAATTTTCTTTTTGGTTGGCTGTTATCACTAATCTTAGTAGGCCCCATGCTGACTTATTTATACAAATACAGTGGACCCCCGCATAACGATTACCTCCGAATGTGACCAATTATGTAAGTGTATTTATGTAAGTGCGTTTGTACGTGTATGTTTGGAGGTCTGAAATGGACTAATCTAATTCACAATATTTCTTATGGGAACAAATTCGGTCAGTACTGGCACCTGAACATATTTCTGGAGTGAAAAAATATCGTTAACCGGGGGTCCACTGTATAAAAAAATGCCAAAAAAATGTGAAGAAACACGAGATAGTTTACAGCGAAGTTCTGGCCGGTCGTGTTTGTTTGGTCGAGTACTGAGCTTTGTTCTAGTAGGGAGCTGGTCGAGTACCAAGGTTCCACTGTACTGGAAGCCAGAATAATGCTTGGTAATAACTGGTAGAATACTCTACTGTGACAGATATTCATCACTAAGAGAACTAATTTACAGTGGAACCTCAAATATCGAACTGTCTTCAGTCCAGAAGGCTGTTCGAGTGCCTTTACCGAATGAATTTATTCCCATCAGGAATAATGTAAATTAGATTAGTCCATTTCAGACCCTCAAAAATACACTTATAAAAGCACTTACAAAAATACACTTACATAATTGGTTGTGTTGGAAGCAGTTCGATTTTTGAGGTTCCACTGTATTCATCTAGTACATCACTCTGTACAAGGTTTTTATCATCTTGTATTAAAAATTCATATGTACTTCGTCATTCTATCATCATTGTCTTTATTAATATCATCACTGTTGATTTTACTCTTAATTTTTTATTTTTAACACACCAGCCGTCTCACCCAAGTGGAGAGTGACCCAAAAAATGGAGGAGTGCTTTCAGAAAGTTCTTCTTGTACATTTTAGTAATTTTGCCCTTAATATTTGTAGTAATTCTGTCCTTTGATAACTGATTCTGGTTTTTCTTACTTTTGGTATTGAATCAAACAGATTTCCTTCATTTCAACTCCTTCTATGGACATTACCTTTGTGAAAGAATTTAATAATCAAGTTGTACGTCTTCTCTACAAGACTTATTAAAGCCATATAGCATCACCTAATACAATACTCAGTTCTCTTGTATTCAATGTTACTCATCTAATGACCATATGTACTGTTATTGCCTTATTAATCGTAAGTTAATTTTAAGTTTGCCCGAAATGCTCTGTATACAAAGGAGCTTTTGGCATGTACACCCAACTATTATATTCGTTTGTACAAACATGTATCATGTCAAAATAAACTATTATTATTACTTTCACCAAGCTGGCACTATTTTCTCTTAAAAAGTTTCTCTTTATCAGCCCTGCCTGGCTTTTGTGATATCTGCCTTATTGTATTTGGTGAAAGAAAGATCAGCTGACATTTTTAGTTCCAGATCTTTCACACATTCCTTTTTGACCTGTTTGGTGACCATCTTGTGTTTTGCATACACTTTTTTTTTTTTTTTTTTTTTGAGTTCTTCATTCTTTCCCATCTAAACACTTGGAACTTTTCACCATTGAACATCACGTTATTCTCCACTGCTCCGTGGAAGACCTTGTTTGTATCCTCTGGATCTGATAACTGAGGATTCACTTTTGATTGTTATTCCTCGTCCCCCAAGTGTAACATTTCCAGTGTTCATCTGGTCTCGGATACGGCGGTACAAATGTAAATAATCTGATTAAATTTTAAGTGTTCCTTCAAAACTAATAAATGACTGGGGGGGGGGAGGGATTTTTTTTTACATATCAACTTTACAATTCTCTATTTATTAGGAATTTAATGGTTTTATTATATACTGTAGAGTGTGTCAGTTCTAAATACAATCACCTTTGCAGTGTTATATTTTTGTAAATGTACTTTAAAAAGTTCATTCAAAATTGAATATCATGTGAAATGGCCTTCATAGTATGTGCTATTCCATTTTGGTTGCCCTTTTTCAGTTGCATTTGCAAAAAAAATTAACTATGTAAACTAGGTTTATAGAAGAACTTCCTGTATGTCTATCTGATTTTTGGCTTAATTATATTCTAAGTCAATGTTTTTAATGCAGGTTAATATTATGCTTATTGACTTACTGTTTGTGTAAATGTGTGTACAGTTCTTAACTTACAAATATGTTGAGCATCTTCTGTATTGAGTATAATATCATTATTATATCATTATTGTGTGTAATATCATTATTGTATATTATTATACAAAATTCAGGAGGTCCCCAATGTGTTTGTAGGTCAAGGACTTGCTGTATTGTGATAAGGGTAGAATTACGATAATGTTAGGCAAAAGTACAATAGCGAGTGTCTCAGGGCACAACCTCTGAAAACATCAAATATCACAGTCTAAATAATGCTCTGTGAACAGAGTTGCACGCTTACGAGAGATATGTCCCGGCTCGCCAGGAGTCACACTCGACCAAAAAGTCAAAATAACTCGAGCAGAGGAGAGCAGCATTCTTATGCATGAACAGCTAATGTAACATGTTGTTATGGCAGTGTTCATCTTAACAATGTTGATAAAATTACTGACTACTCCATGGGGAGGGGAGAAGAATCCTTCCTCTGTAATCTATGCATGTCGTAAGAGGCGACTAAAATGCCGACAGTAAGGGGCTAGTAACACCTTCTCTATAAATTACTAATTGTAAAAGAAAAACTAGATTTTTCATGTTCGGTCAGCCCTCCTTGGTGGGATATTGCCAGTGTTGAAAAACAAAATTACTCACTGTTAGGTTAAAGGATACGTGCAGGTAATGCAACATTTTATTGTTGCAATGTTTCATTCTCCAGGAGCTTTGTCAAGCCACAATAAAACATCGCATTAGTTGCACCTGTGTCCTTTTATCTAACAGTTTGGGTCTTAAAGTCAGGGACCAGGCAAGACCCCATTGGGGTCTAGAAAAGTGTTGCAGTGTGACCATGTTTGAAACATTCTGTAATGGGGGCTTTCTTTGAGAATAATGCAGAAGTTGAACCACCAGGAACATGGCTTGGTTCTAAGTTGAATCACCAGGAACATGGCTTGGTTCTAAGTTGAATCACCAGGAACACACCTCGGTTGTAAGTTGGACCACCAGGAACACACCTTGGTTGTAAGTTGGACCACCAGGAACACACCTTGGTTGTAAGTTGGACCACCAGGAACACACCTCGGTTGTAAGTTGGACCACCAGGAACACACCTCGGTTGTAAGTTGGACCACCAGGAACACACCTTGGTTGTAAGTTGGACCACCAGGAACACACCTTGGTTGTAAGTTGAACCACCAGGAACACACCTTGGTTGTAAGTTGGACCACCAGGAACACACCTCAGTTGTAAGTTGAACAACCAGGAAACACACCTCAGTTGTAAGTTGAACAACCAGGAATACACCTCAGTTGTAAGTTGAACCACCAGGAACACCTCATTTATAAGTTGAACTACCAGGAACACACCTCAGTTGTAAGTTGAGCCACCAGGAACACACCTCAGTTGTAAGTTGAACCACCAGGAACACACCTCAGTTGTAAGTTGAACCACCAGGAACCCACCTCATTTATAAGTTGAACCACCAGGAACACACCTCAGTTGTAAGTTGAACCACCAGGAACACACCTCAGTTGTAAGTTGAACTACCAGGAACACTTCATTTATAAGTTGAACCACCAGGAACACACCTCAGTTGTAAGTTGAACTACCAGGAACACTTCATTTATAAGTTGAACCACCAGAAACACACCTCAGTTGTAAGTTGAACAACCAGAAACAAACCTCAGTTGTAAGTTGAACAACCAGAAACACACCTCAGTTGTAAGCTGAACCACCAGGAACACGCCTCAGTTGTAAGTTGAACCACCAGGAACACACCTCAGTTGTAAGTTGAACAACCAGAAACACACCTCAGTTGTAAGTTGAACAACCAGGAATACACCTCAGTTGTAAGTTGAACCACCAGGAACACCTCATTTATAAGTTGAACTACCAGGAACACACCTCAGTTGTAAGTTGAGCCACCAGGAACACACCTCAGTTGTAAGTTGAACCACCAGGAACACACCTCAGTTGTAAGTTGAACCACCAGGAACACACCTCAGTTGTAAGTTGAACCACCAGGAACACACCTCAGTTGTAAGTTGAACCACCAGGAACACACCTCAGTTGTAAGTTGAACCACCAGGAACACACCTCAGTTGTAAGTTGAACCACCAGGAACACACCTCAGTTGTAAGTTGAACCACCAGGAACACACCTCAGTTGTAAGTTGAACCACCAGGAACACACCTCAGTTGTAAGTTGGAAACTTATTATATAGTAACAATATTGAACATAATTCTCTCATATAGTGTAATATTTGGTAAATATAATTGAAAAAATTCATCCAGAAAACAATAGCAGATGTTATGAAGGCCTTTCAGTACATTTCTGTTTTAGATATAATTTTTCAATTGCAAACACAGGCGTTTCTCGCTTTCCAATATTTTGACTTTCCGATGGTGTGATAGTGAAGCACATTCTGTACTGTACATTTATTGATAGGATAAACTTGTATTCATTTATTTACTTATCAATACTGGTATTTAGTTACAGTAATTATTTGTTTATTAACTTATTTAGTGACAGTTGTTTATTTACTTCTCACATTAAGTCCTCTGTATTGTGTATATCATTTTTGAGTAATAGAGGAAATCAGCTGTAATACAGTCTCGCCTCGCTTACTGACATACTCGTTTACCGACAACTTGGAGTTACGACGGACTCTGACGAGTTGTTATTGTATACTATACGAGAACTTGGGTCATGAACGGAAAGCGCAGCATCTCAGCATCAAGCATCTCAATCTCCTTCCTACAGCCACTCAGTACACTAGCTTTTACAGTCTCCAAGACTACATATTTTTACAAATTTCCTATTGTTTTTCCTCTTGGAAGAGGAAAAACAAGAGGAAAATGTAAAGGCATTAGTGATGTGTCTCAGCATCAAGCAATCTCCAAGACTACATACTTCGTCTTTAAATTTGTACTTTAGTGTGGATCCCACAGTAGAAGATAGAGTTAGAAGTGCAGCAGT